CAATGAATTCGTCTGTTAATGGAATTTCAAGTGTTGACACGTTGATCGAGCACACGTTTATTTTTTTTTTTTTTTTTTTATAACATTAGAATTCTTCAGTTCAAACAGATGGATTCTGTAATATTTAAAAACGCAGTCAACTTTAATTGACTGTGTTGTAACTATTTAGCGTGAAGGAAAGATCTTTTCCTTCTCCGAGAATTCTACGATAAATTTATCAATTTAGATGCTTCGTAGCACGTGTTTTAATCGTCGGAAGCATTTCGATCCGTAAGTATTTTTCAACAAAGTGCAAAATCGTTTTCTCGCCGAGAATTCACGCGAAACAGATCGAGCAAATTACCCGAGATATCTGGAATCGCGAAGGATCGGCCATATCCGATCGCGCTTGGATCCCTCGAAGCTCGGCCACGTCCATCGAGCAACGAGTTCGCGGAAAGCGGCGACACGCGCGATAAGCACGCGTCGATTACTCCGCAGAGAGCACCGAAACCTCGAGGGGAGGGACGAAAGGCATTTTAAAGAGAGAGCTCTGTTTTATCTGTCGACGGAATCGAACAAGTGGCGTTCGCAAACACTTGTCTCCGCCGTCTCGGTCGTTTGACTCCTTAAAAACTCCGTTTGTATCTCGCCCGAGCTTATCTAACGGATAATATCTCGGCGTATCGGCCTGTAAATCCGCGCGCGTACGAGTGGTGCTAATTTCATGAGCATGTGACCGCACGCCAAGGTGCGAAAAAACGCGAGAGAATCCGGGCGAGAGTTGGAAAGGGAGAAAGAGAGAAAAAGGACAGTGTTCTTGTCGGAGGAGCGAGAGTGTATCCTCTGCTCCTTGGATAACGTCGACGAGCAACCCGTCGCGAGTTAATGCATCGTCTTATCAATTTCTGCCGAACCCAATGGAAAGCCTTCCACTCTACCTTCACGCTCTTTCCAACACCTATCTTTCTTTTTTTTTTCTCTCTCTCTCTCTCTTTCTTTCTTTCTTTTACTTCTTTCATTCCGCTTGGCCCCTTTATCCGTCTCAAATAACTGGACTGGCCCACACTTGACGCTGCTTGGCAAACACCTACCTATAACCCGTTCGAAATCAATTGACCCCTCAAGCCTGATTGCCAGTGACGCGATTATATAAATCTTGTTACATCGGTCGAGTGTCTTGTCCCCCTGACTTCCGAATTAAGTATGTCGGTGCCGCTTGTCACGTGTTACGTGACGAACTTAATAAAATCGCGTTACGCTCATTAATTCACGCGCAGTGAACATTCTGCGAACAGTCTTTTACTTTTGTAAAAAAACGATCTTCTTGAGAGAGAAATCATTTTTAAATTCTCTTTCTCTATTTCAAACAAGTATCTCTAGATATTCTTTGGGAAATCTGTTTTCAAATAATCGTATCGTGAAAATCATTTCTAAAATAATTACCCCTTAAATCTTGGAACGATACTTTCAAGCGTTATAATCCACCGTGGCATTCGTGAGCCAATAACCAAATAAACTCGCGAGAGTTACTTTAATTTAATTGAACGTGCAGGTGCTC